GTCTGTATTTTTTAATTTTTTAGTTGTTTTAAATAAATGATATAAAACTAATTTAATTTGTAATTATTTACGTGATATAATCTTTTTGTACTTCTGTTCCACCAAATTAGCGATTTTAGAAAATCATTTAATTGTAATCCAGAAAAATCATTTCGATTAATTTCTTGAAAGACGAAAGTTGAAACGCAGAAGAAGTAGAGAATTATTATGGAAGAGTTGTTGGAAGTATGTACCTTTTTTCAAAGCCTAAATTAAATTTATAATAATATTTTATATGTTAGAAATAAAAAAAGATAACAAATTTTAATCTTGCAATCAAAATATAAAAAATCTTTAATTATTTATATTAATTAAGATTTATTTTTCACAATTTCTATTGTTTTCATTATTAGACTAATTTTAATGCAAATAAAAGTGATTAAAAATGTCAATAATTAATCAACAAAATTACGTAATATGGTTATGAAAACGCGACTTGCCTGAGATGTGATGATTCACAGCGGTTCTAAATCGTTTAAATAGTACTTGTATAAATACGAATCGTCTCGAATTATCACGAGGAATCATTTATCACACCTGCGTAACGATGATTCATCTGCACCTACGAATATTTAAACCGATTTTTATATGATTAGAAAAACTGCGTCGCGAAGAATTACAGCGGTTCTAAAACGTCTAATCAATCCTCGTATGGACACGAATCGTCTCGAAAAGTCACGAGGAATCAGCTGCAGCTGAGAGCGATAAACAAATCCTTATATGGTTATAAAATCGCGACACACCTGCGCAACGATGAATCATCTGTACCTGCGAATCGCTAAACAGATGTAAATTAATCTGTTTTGTTTCAAATTTAATGTCTAAACTTGATATAATTAAAACATATATTGTTTTTTTGGGCTATCGACCAAAGTATTTTCTAAAATATTATAAAATGAAGTAATATTACTACATTGTTTAAGAAATAATTGTTTTAGTAGGAGGAATGAAGGCAATGCCAAGAATATCATTTTATTTCGCCGTTTTACTAAAACCTAACCCAGTCGTAAAATGATTCCCACCTGTATAATTATACCGTTTGCTTAGTTGTTAATTAAATTCAAACTACACATTCTCTTCATTTAATTTATTTGGGTATTTCAATTGTTAAAACCTTTAGAGAAATATTTGGATTATACTAAATAGTTAATTTATTTGCATTCAATTTATTATGGAACGAAAATTAATATTCATGTTTAGAGTTTATTGATAATGCCAATTCATATACAGCCAAACCACGATATAAATTGTTCATTAGGATTATTGAAAAACCAAATTGTTAGCCTTTATTCAAAGACTAAATTATATTTAGGAAAAAGATAACAAATTTTATATATTGCAAGCGAAATATGAAAAAATCTTGAATTTGTTTATATTAATTAAGAATTCAAATTTCTTTATCACAATTTCTATTTTTTTCATTATTAGACTAATTTTAATGCAAATGAAAGTGATAAAAATGTTTATAATCGATCAACAAAATACCTAATATGGTTATGAAAACGCGATTTGCCTGCGTCGCGATGAATCACAGCGGTTCTAAAACGACTAATCAATCCTCGCATGTGTACAAATCGTCTCGAAAAGTCACGAAGAATCAGCTGCAGCTGCGATCATTAAACAAATCCTTATATGGTTATGAGAACGCGACACACCTGCCTAACGACGAATCGGAAATTAATTCATTTTCTTTCAAATTTAATGAATAAAAATCATAAAGTCCACTATCAATTTCATTAGAAAACTTTCCAAATATTTCTTACAATTTATTGCACTCAAAATACTAGGAAATTTGTATTTACCTAAAACGATAAATTTTCAAATGTAAATTGTAGCAATAATTTGAATTAATTTTATGACATATTAGATAAATTTTCCTATTTTGTTTACAACGCGGCAATAAAATCAAATTTTTCCAAAAAAACAATTAAGTTCTGCATCTACCTGCTTATTTTTGGGGAAATCCCCCACTCCAATTTTTAGCTACCTGAAATCATGATCGATGGTAAGCTAAGGACATTTAGGAATGAAACAAATCATTAGTTCTCCAACAGACATCAGAGAAGCAGTGAAAACTTATTTACATACAAAATGTCTTATTCCAAAGTTACAGTTGAATCGATCTTCGAAAAGTGGTAAAAGTGCAATTAGTCATAAATCGGGCGTCAGTTTCGGTGATGCTCTTACGATGTATGATGTATGCTATGATGGTAAAACATCACAAATCTACTGAGGTAATCTGTACTGAAGAAAAGAGTACCGACTAAACCGAAAAGTGCAAGTTCTAGTGCCAAGGAAAATAAATATTCAACGGATCCTAAGAGTAATAAGGACAAGGAAAACGAAGACAAGTCGAGGAAAAGTAGAATTTCAAAACGATTTGTAGAATTATTTGGCGATGATCTGTCCGATATTGATAAGCCTGAGAAGAAGGACAATATTAGTAAGTTGGGATCGAAACAGCCAAGAAATTCAAGCAAGGAAAACGAAGACAAGTCGAGGAAAAGTAGAATTTCAGAACGATTTGTAGATCTATTTGGCGATGATCTGTCCGATATTGCCAAGCCTGAGAAGAAAAACAACAGAAGTGATAGGGACAGTACAGTAAATCTAAGCAAGGAAAGCGAAGACAAGTCGAAGGAAAGTATAATTTCAAAACGATTTGTAGAATTATTTGGGGATGATCTGTCCGATGTTTCCAAGCCTGAGAAGAAGGAAAACAGAAGTGATAAGGACAGTATAAGCAAGTTGGAATCGAAGCAGTCAAGAAATCCGAGCAAGGAAAATGAAGTGAAGTCGAAGAAAAGGACTCACGAATCAGAGACTTCGCCGTTGGAACCGTCATGCAAAAAGCGGACGGGTCAAGGGCTGACAGATATCGACATAAATGTCATGTTTGCCCAGACTGCAGTGAAGATATCGTCTAAAGTCGATAAGAAAAATGACATGAGAAGATCCAAGGAGAAGTCGTCCAGGTCAGGACGCGATAGGCACGAGAAGCACCGTAGTAAAGGTGTCATATATTAAGAACAACACCGATTTTGTTATATCTAAATTATAGTTTTTTCTTTCAGTTTGTAATATTATGTTTTGTTTAATTAAATATGATTAATGTGTTATAATTGTTGTCCGTATTTTTTAGTTGTTTTAAATAAATGATATAAAACTAATTTAATTTGTAATTATTTACGTGATATAATCTTTTTGTACTTCTGTTCCACCAAGATTAGCGATTTTAGAAAATCATTTAATTGTAATCCAGAAAAATCATTTCGATTAATTTCTTGAAAGACGAAAGTTGAAACGCAGAAGAAGTAGAGAATTATTATGGAAGAGTGTGTTGGAAGTATGTACCTTTTTTCAAAGCCTAAATTAAATTTATAATATATATTTTATATGTTAGAAATAAAAAAAGATAACAAATTTTAATCTTGCAAGCAAAATATAAAAAATCTTTAATTAATTTATATTAATTAAGATTTATTTTTCACAATTTCTATTGTTTTCATTATTAGACTAATTTTAATGCAAATAAAAGTGATTAAAAATTTCAATAATTGTTGAACAAAATTATCTAATATGGTTATGAAAACGCTTGTCTGCGTCGCGATGAATCACAGCGGTTCTAAAACGTTTAAATAGTACTCATATAAACATGACTCGTCTCTTGTTATGAAAACGCGACT